TATATATATGCCGTCAAGCCGTCTCTGCCTATATTGGGGCGTCCGCATCGGCGCGGGTTTGTGTATTTTCGTTGTCGACCAGCTGTGTACGTGTGCCGGCTCGCCGATCCCGCATCTTGCTGCATGGGCGCTTCTGTTTCCGCTCCTCCCTCTCTTCCTCCTCATCCTCCTCCTCCTCCTCCTCCTCACCCACTCGCTACTGTGCGCGCGTGTGTTAGGGGCCGGTGTGTATGTGTGTGTGCGTGCGTGTTTCAGTGCGTGAACGGATACGTGCGTGCGTGCGTAGACGCGAAGGTGCAAGCGTACTGTGCGTGTAAGCGTGTACGTACTGGTGGTTATCGCTGTAACCTGGCACACGTAGCGGTCAGTGACGTGCGTGGTCGCTGGGCTGCGCTATCGACCTCTGGCAGCCAGCTAACTCTGTTTGACACGCGCGACGTCTCCAACGGCAATCTTGTATGAAGTGTTACCGTCTGCCGACGCACGCGGGTGCACAGCGCGCATGCACAGCGCGCATGCGCAGCGTGTCGCCGTAAGCACGCCGCAAAATCATGCACGCGATATTCGATGGCTCTTGTCTATATATTCTGAATCGCCTTCTCCAGTAAGGAAAGCGCATGGGCGGCTAGGGAGAGTAGGACGCGAATCAGACGAATGTCAAGAGATCAGTGTGACCCGACCACTGATCTATGTATAACTTATATGTAAAATCCGTTATTAAGAGCTAATAAACACCTGCGGCGTCCTGTCAGCTGCTTCGTCTGCGCTACATAATGGTGGATGGTAAGGGGGGGGGGCGACAAGTAAAATTACGCTTGGAGCTGCGCGCTAGATCCGATAATTTTCACCCTCTTCCTTATACTGCCTCTCATTCTATACATACACACCAACGTTGACATTTACGTCGCATTTGTTCTCACGACTTCACGGAGCACACGCAGTGTAATGTCGCGTAGTTTTTCGCGCGATAGATTTATCGAAGGAATGCGGGCGTACCACGCCGACTTTCTTAAAAGGGCACGCCGCACAGCAAACATGGCCTACCAAACGCAATGACGACGTAATATATATATATATATATATTATATATATATATATATATATATCAGACCCCCGTACGTCAGAAAAGAGACGTTCTTTACCCTCTCGCTGCATGGCACGCGGCGGCTAGTGTTGCGCATGCATGCACTCTGTGCCGTCAGTCACGAGGATGAGGTGAACTATCCGTCAATATTTCGCACAATAGATAAGTGCGGCTGCCTTATTCCGTCACGAATCTCCGTGCGCGGCGCGCGATAGCTCGTGATGTCAGTTTCGCTACAGTATAGCGGGGATTTAATGTTGTTCTCAGCCGTGTTCTGCAAACGACGCGAGATGAGCGGAAAGAGTTCGATAATCATGACGACGACGCCGACGCTGTTCATGACGACGACGCCGACGCTGTTCATGACGACGACGCCGACGCTGTTCATGACGACGACGCCGACGCTGTTTATGAGGACGACGCCGACGCTGATCATGACGCCGACGCTGTTCATGACGACGACGCCGACGCTGTTTTATATTTTCGTTCGATCTCGCACGATCTGCAATCAGGTTGCTCCCCTCGTTGCTATGCAAATCGTTCGCTGACCGCACGTACGTTTGTTCATCATGCATCGCTGCGGAAGCGCCCTGCAGTAATGTTACGTGAGAACGACCTCGTATATGGTATACGCCTCGTATACGGGGGGTGAGCAAGGTCTGCATGCAGGACATGCCAGATACAGTGTGGCAGTATGCCGAATGTGCGGGTGAACGTACGTGGTCAGTGTGCTTTGGGGGGAGGGGAGGGGGCTAGGTTGCCGGGCTACGGTGCATGTGGCGATGGAAGGGGCATCCTGTTAGATTGACGCAGGGATGCAAGGGGAAGAATATGAGCGCATTTCGCCGCGGGGGCCTGTTGCGGCGGAAGAAAATACACGTCTGTCTGTTTCGCCACAGGCTTCTGCGGGTTACAAGGCGTCCGGGTATACGATCGTATTATATAATCAACTGTTCTCGTGTACACGTCGGTTTTCTATAGCCTATAGGCCCTCCGTGTGGCATAACCGCATGACTAACTCACGAATTACCCGAATCTAGTCAAGTATACGACAATTTTACGACCATTCGTTACACAGTGGTGCTTGTTTTCGAGACGTTGGTGCCCATTGCGCGGATGTCGTCCCAGCCAAACTTTACTGCCCCGCTTGAAGATGACAAGGCGCGGCAGATGACAGAAGACGGCGGCGAGGGCCACTCGCT